TTAGTGATGACAGTGCTAATGACTTATGAGTTCTTATATGATATGTCATTGTTATTTATTTTTGGAAATTGGAATTATATGTTAATGAAAAGAATACAAGGATTTGGGAAAGATAGAATTTTGAGTTGAACTATATTTCATGTTGTCTTATTATTGAGATATTTTGATTTCACTTCATATCTTATGCTTTTTTATGTTTTATATTATTCACTTCATTAGTATATAAAAAATTTATCATTTTATATTTACACAATCTTTTGATTTTGAGGCTTACGCCTTGAGACTTACGCCTCGCCTCACGAATGAAAAACACCTCAGTACCCGAATACGCAATTTTAAACATTATTTTCCTCTACTTGTTGAGTATCCTTATTTTTTTAGTCAAGATTGCTAGGTTTCACTTGAGATCTTCAAGACTTTCCTATCAAATTGGTATTAGAGCAGATTTTGGGGCCATTTGTAGGCTGTTGTTGGATAATTCAGCGGTTGTTTTTGCGGAAGAAGGGATTTTTGTTGTTTTTGGATCAATATTCAGATTTTTTGAACCTACAAAAAATCGGGTATTGATGACAGCCAAGAAGGTAGATGCGTTGGAGGAACGCCTTGAAGGGGAGATGAGCCAAATGAAAGCAACGGTGGAAGATAGAATTTCATTCGTGGAAGACAAAGTTTTTGATCTTCATAAGATGGTGAAGAAGATATTAGAGAATTAAATTCAAACGGCAACAGCAGAGACAAAGGGACGGGCATGAAGAAAGGTAGAAGTATTAGAAGGGGAGATCGAACAAATGAAATCTGAAACTTCAGATCTTCAAACTCAAATTTCATATTTAAAGAAAAATATTTCAATCACACATGGTAAGATCAATTCGAAATTTTTCATGAGATGTTGAAGAAAGTGCTTGAGGGCCAAATCAAAAAAATATCGTCGAAAGTGAGGGAAGTCACCGACAGCGAGGGAAGTGGGGAGAACCCTAAGCCAATCAGACGAAGGGAAGCTCAAGAGATGGAGATTTTGGAAGGAACAAAAAAATGCCTCCCCTAAGGATTATTCCTAGGGAGGAGTCGGGTAGATGGTATGTGGGGAGGCGTGAGGGGGTTGGACATGAGTGGAAGGGTGCTGAATTTGAAAGAGGAAGAGGGAATTTTAACCAAAGGAGGGCTGAATTGGAAAGAGAAGTTTGTGATGATCCAAGGGATGCTGAATTTGAAAGGAGAATGTGTAAATTTGATGAAAGGCTTGGATATGAACGTAGAAGGGATGATTGAGAAATTTGGGGGAACCAAGGGAATGGGAAATTATGGAGGGAATAGAGGAAATGGAGGCGATCCGAGGGTGAAGAAATTAAAGATGTCAATCTTTGAGGGGGAGGTTACGCATGGGTGGATCTACAAGATTGAAAGATATTTCACTGCCAATGGGTTGACAGAGGAGGAGAGACTGACAACAGTAGGCCTATATTTGGAAGTGAAAGCATTGGCTTGGTACCAATGGAGGGACATGCAACAACCCATACATAGTTGGAGAGAGTTTAAGGATTGTTTTATAGAACATTTCTGAAATGGCAGGGGAGGAGACTTCTACGAGCAGTATACGCCTTGATGCAGGATGGTTCAATGATAGAGTATTGGGACAGGTTCGAATATCTTGCTAGTTGATTGGATCGTCTTTCTGAGATAGTGCTAGAGGCGAACTTCATGAAGGGATTAACACTAGAGATCCGGGCAGCGGTTAGAGTAATGAGGCCTCGTGACTTGGGAGAAGCTATGGAGCTAGCTCAATTGGTAAATGATCAAAGGCACCTGGAGAAAAATAGGAGGCAGCAACCCAGGAGGCCCGTACAGAATGACCACCACCTTATTGAAATCCAATGAGCCAACACTATACTCTTCGGGGGACTTCGAAAGAAAAGACACCAAAAAGAAGACCTGGGGACAACTTCAAGAAGCTAACAGAGACCAAATTACAGGAGAAGAGGGAGAAGGGGCATTGTTTCGGATGTAACGAGAGGTATACGTCGGGGCACAGGTGCAAGGACCGAACTCTTCAAGTTCTTACCGTTGGTGATGAATAAGGAATGGAGGAGGGTGTTGTTTTTCTACCTTGTGGACAAGGTGGAGAATTGAGAGGGGAGTATTGTTATACCGATCCATTAGACTGGTCCAGCCGGTACGACAGGTCAAGCTTACGCGAACAAAGGCAGAAATGTTCGCCTTTTGTACATGCCAAACGCATGCCCGGGCGTGCGTGAGCTGTTTAGGAAGGATTTTTGAGGGAGTTAAGAGGAAAATTTGAATGTATGGACTGTTTAGGGATTTCCTTATGATTTGTATGCATTAAATAGTGTGTTTTCCTAGGGTTAGGGCATCTTGAATTTGGTTAAAATTTGAGATCTCTTATGTTTAGGTTTCCTTTGGGCTCTAGCGGCGTTAAGAGAACCGGAAGAGATTGATCTCTCTTGAATTGAGGATCACTTGTATCTTGTTTGTTTTTCTTCCGTTAGTTGATTTTTCTCAATAAAATAAGCTATTTTTCTTTGATTTTTCCTCTACTTGTTGAGTATCCTCGCTGATTTTATCAAGATCGTTAAGTTTCACTTGAGATCTTTAAGTGTTTCCTATCAGAACCTTGATAAAATTTAATCCCTAGAACTCATCTAATTGTCAACCCTAAGTATTCTCCATTTTATTGCAATATTTTTATTTTCTTTTATGATTCGAATAGCATAAAACCAACCTAATTTCAATACTTGTATAATATTTCACAACTCAATATTTTATTACTTGTACGACTACACAATTGGCCATTAAAAGAGAAGCATAATATTAACGTAAGTGTTACAAAGATGGGGATGCTCAGGTGGATGAGTGGCTTTACTCTTAAAGACATGATACGAAATGAGCAAATACGTAAAAAGGTTGGCGTAACTCTAGTTGAAGATGAGATTAGTGAGAGTTTCCTTAGATGGTTTGGTCACATAAAATGACAGCCTTCCGATGACCCAGTTAGGAAAGTAGATGTACTAGATTTGACTTATTTTAAGAAAGGTTGAGGTAGACCTAAAAACTTGATTAGAACTTAGAAAAAAATTAAAAATAACTTTTCTTTATTAGATTTAAATGAGAATTTGACTCTTAAAAGAACACAACGGATAAAAAAGATTCATGTAGTTGACCCCAAATAGTGGGATAAAGGCTTGTTGTTGTTGTTGTACGACTACACAATCTTGGATACACGTTTGGATATGCCATATGGTATGCACTATGACTCCATGGAATACTTTACGTTATATGGCGCTAATCATTCATGACAAGTATGAGATTACTCTAAATACATAATCATTTGTATAAGTTATTCAAGAGAGAGCATACGTCGCCTCTTTGATCTACCTTAATTGTACAAAGGATAAATAATAATCTTGGATGATTGAACTAAGAGCTTTAGATTATATGACAATTGACAGGTTGTGCGCAACAATTTTCTTCATTAACTATCACATGTGGCCAACCTAAAATAAAAAATTTAATAATGGATCTTTATAAAAAATTATAGGGTAAGAGCCATTAGAATTAACTCTCTTTTCTCTTTGAATTAGTCTTACATGTTCCCAATCTATGTTATAATCTACTCTATATAAGCAAATTTCAAACAATTATAACTATAAGGTTATTTTCTCGCAAGATTGTTGTGAATTTCAGGGCAAAAGTTTAGGTAAGAAGATTGACAATGAAAGTAAGCACGGGGAATCCTTCTCTCTTACAAGAAGAGAACAAATAATATTGTCATATTTTAGATTAGAACATCCTAATTTTTCATATCTAAAAAAATTTACTCGTACCCTTGTTTAACAATAATGATATTCTCTAACAACCTACATAAAATAGCCCCAAGATGACGTCTATTAATAATTATTAACCAAAATAACTGTGAGATAAAATGAAAGATATGAAATATTTATGTATCTTACGTCTATTATACACAAGTGCAAGTACATAAATCAAAAAGTAACTTTTAAATTTAAGATTTAGTAACCAAAATGAAAATGCATCACATGCGCAGTGCTCAATAAGTGAATATCAAGGAAAATGAAGGAAAATCCTATAAAACTATAATTAGAAAAGCTACATTGCATGGAACAAAGTCTTGGGAGATAAAGAAGTCATCGATAAATAAGTTGGACATGGGAAAAAGAGAAAAGTATAAGATTGATCTAAGGTAAAACTAGGAAGACTAGATTGACAAGTAATTAACTGCATCAATGGAACGGCAAGAATGTCATCTATTGAAGATAATATAGCTGTAATTAAAGTGGTTTGGGCATGTACAATAAAGGGTAGAATATGGGCCAAAATAACGGTATATAAAATAAATATCAAGTGATTAAGAAAAAAATAGGGTTGATGAACCGTAACACTGATAAAAATGTAAAAAGAATTGCATAAAGCAATATTGAAACTTTAAGAAGAACCTAATTAAGACAAATGGAAAATCAAGTTAATAAAACTTGGCCATATAAAGTTCCAATTAGTAGTTCTAGCAAGAAAGAAAGGGAAAGAAGGGAACCCCTATCAACTTAGACTTCATTTCTCCACTTTTTACCCATCATCTTATCAATTTTCATATAATTATTCTACTCTCTAGTGATTACCCCATTCCCTTTGATCTTAGGAATCATGAGAATCCTTTGTTAGTGGTGTTAATGTTGGCACGTTATTTTTATTTTTGAGCAATGTTTATGTTTGCAATTTTGTTAGGTCATGGACAGCAGTGGAATATTGGGAGTGTGGATGATAGATGCACTCCTACAAATATGAAAACTACACTCTATAGTAAATTCAAATAAAGAAATAAGTAACGCACTCTTGAGACTATCACAGTGTCACACCAGTCACAATATCAATTAGGGGCCTGACCCTTCAAGCAGTGAATATTATATTACAATCAAATAATTTTGTTTTCATATAGTGCATTTATAAGACTCCTTGATAAACAAAGGTACCTGTGATGCCGTTGTCACTTTTTTTATCAATAGATTATTTTCTATCTCATTGAAAGATGGGTTTAGATCTACCTCCTTGCCACTATGAGCAAAAATAGATCTTAGAACTTTGTAGTGTCACATAGAAGTTAAATATACGAAATTAGTTCAATAATTTATTAATTATTGTTAATTGAAATGTTACTGAAGCTAACTATGATCCCATGCAATGAGATTAAATATTTTAATTTCATAATCAATAATTATCATTAAAATCATAACTGACTAACAAACTTAGGGGCTGTTTGGCAACAGGATTTATGCAGGATTTATGCTAAATCCTGCCAAACGGGATTTGAGCGCCCCGTAAATCTCACGGCGGAATAAATCCTCCGTTTCCCTCTTTTTGCCGTAAATCCCGGATTTACTACATCCTCTAGTTCGGCGGATTTACGGGATTTGGCCGAAGAAGCGCGTGAAAGGGAGAAAGTTACCTTAACAGCAAGCGAGCTCCCGTCGTTGCTTCCGATCAAAATGTCGTAACTTCCGATCCGACAGGAATGAAAAGTCGTCGAACGATCGAAGTCAACAGCAACGAAGGAGCCGTAGAAGCGACTCCTGCAATGTCTACACGTCCTGCGAAGCAACGAAGCCGAACAGCAACCGAAAAAGGGAAGATGAACGGCAAACCCTAGACGTTTCTAACTTAAGTTATTGTTGATTAACTTAATTAAAACAATTTAAAATATTAATAATTAATTAAATTAACTAAATAATTAATAGTATAATTAGTGCATAAATTAATTAGCTAATATAATTAAATTGAATAATTAGTAATATAATTAGTAATTAATAATTAATATAATTATCTTAATTAATATATTTTAAATATAAATTATAAATATTTACCTAATATTGTAAATAATAATTAATGAGTAGTAGAATTATGAAATGATTAATGAGATAACTAACAATATAATTAATAATTAAAAATAATTAAATGATATTTTATAATTAATTAAATTATTAGTAAGAGTATTAGTTAAATAATTAGTTATTTAAAAAATTAACTAGTTAATTAGATACTTATCAATATAATTAGAAATCAAATACTTATTATATTAATACATAAACAAGTAATTTAATAAATAATATTATTATTAGTAATTAAATAATTTAATAATCAAGTTTATTTCTAATTAAATTATTTAACATTATAATTTGTTAATTATAATTAAAACTAAAATTAATAAGTAACTTGTACTTAACATGTTATTAAATTTATAGCACATTAAATTTAATTTTTAAATGAATCAACAACAACATCAACATCAAGCCTAAAATCCCACTACCTGGGGTCGGCTACATGAATCCTTTTTCTCCATTATATCCTATTAAAAGTCAAATTCTCGTTTAAATCTAATAAAAAATATCATTTTTAATATTTTCTAACCAAGTCTTTTTATGTCTATCTTTACCTTTCTTAACATAAGTCAAATCTAATACCTCTACTTTCCTAACCGGGTCATCGGAAGGCCGCCATTTAATGTGACCAAACCATCTAAGGCGACTCTTTCTAATATTATCTTCTATTGGAGCTATTCCAACCTTTTCACGTATATGCTCATTTCGTATTCTATATCTAAGGGTAAAGTCACTCATCCACCTGAGCATCCTCATCTATGTCACACTTAACTTAGTATTTATTATGCTTCTCTTTTAATGGCCAACATTTGGCACCATAAAGCATTGCAGGCCTCACCACCATCTTATAGAATTTTCCCTTAAGTTTGAATGGTACTTTTTTATCACTCAACAAGCCTGATGCATTCCTCCACTTCAACCATCTAACTTGAATTCTGCTGATAATATCCCTATCTATTTCACCATCACTCTGAACAATATATCCAAGATATCTAAAACGTATACTCTTATTAATGACTTGATAGCCCAAAGTCACAATCCCCTCATTAGGTCTATTACGACTAAAATTATACTCCATATATTCCGTTTTAGATCTACTCATGCGAAAATCTTTAAACTCTAAGGTTGACCTTCATAATTCAAGTTTACCTTCAACTCCCTCTATAGTCTTATTAATAAGAAGAATATCATTAGCAAAAAGCATACACCAAGGTACATCCTCTTGAAAATGTCTAATGAATCCTAGATTACGTTGGCAAATAGTTTCATGGATTTAAAAAGATTTAACAACTATTTTACCAAAGAGTTTTCATGATTTAACATGCCCAGGATTTATTAAATTCTCGATTTACATGATTTGCGAGATCATACAAAAATTAAATCCTACTTTTGTCAAACAGCCCCTATCTTTGATTCGAAAAGCAAGAAACGCGAATGGGTCCAGAATATCAAACCCTAGAACGCCAAGATATAGGTAAAATGAAATGAATAGATGAAATCAACGAATGGCAGATGAATGCCAAAATATTTATTTGTTTGGACCTAAAGTTTTAATACAAGCTTTTTTCCATAATCATATAACATTATTTGTAAGGAGTATGTTGCCTATAAGTATTGAAGCAATATTTTATATATTCTAATGTTTAGTATTATTTTAATTAAATAAAAGTATTGACAATAATATTTTTTGAATGTCAAAATATTTCGAGCTCTAGAGAAATAAAGGTTTAATGATTAACTTTGCACAATGTAAGAAGTGTAACAAACACCATATTAACTTTACACTGTAAATAATTTTTTTATACAATGCATATTAAGCTTTAAAAACACCTCTACACTCTTCATCTATGTATGAGGGAGCTCTGTTTCAAAGTTTTGCCCATTTGATTGAGTCACTTGGGTTTCCCTGCCCTAATGCCTGGGAAAGAAATGATTCAAACCATTGATATCCCATGTTTTATAAACAAGGGCTTAGATCTTGTGATTTTGTCCATCATTTGATATCATCCGGGCTGTTGATACAAACGACATGGATCCAATGGCTTAAATGTGATTTGATGTTGTTAAATCAGTTTCACCATTGCTCTCGAGTTAATGTTAGTAAAAGTTTATACAAACTTCTTAAAAAAGTAGTCATTAGATTAGTTTAATTGAATAATTAGTAGTATAATTATTATTAAATTAGTTTAGTTAATATTTGTAATGTATTAGTTATTATAGCTATTAATAGTATAATAGTCATTATATTAGTTTGATCTTTAACTAATTAATTAAATCATTAGTATGAGTATTAGTGAAATAATTTATATTTTAAAAAAATAATTACCTAATAAATATTAGTTTGTCATGTGCTCTTTTTTATTTTCTTAGTTATATTATAAAAATTCAAGTTGTATTTTTATATTGTATGCAATTATCTTGAATTTATCATTATATTCTTCATATTTAAATCCCTAACTGTCATAAATCATGAAATATGTTACCAATCAGTTTTTTAGGATTTAATAGGATTCAACATTTGTTATATCAAACAATTTTCAAGATTTAACACTCCTAGGATTTACTAAATCTGAATTTACTGAATTAATTAAATTCCACTTGTTGCTAAACAGCCCTTAGGGGTGTTTGGAAAAAGGATTTATGCAAGATTTATCATAAATCCTATCAATAGATATTTGAGAATCCCATAAATCTCACTGCGAGATAAATCTGTCATTGTCTTATTTTGGCGTAAATCCCAAATTTACTGGGGTTTGGAAGATTTACTGGACTTAGACAAAGAAGTGCATAAAAAGGGAGAAAGATGATTACCTTTACAACGAGCTCCCGTCCTCACTTCCCATAGTAGCAACATCATCGAAGGGGCCAGGAAGCAACAATCCCATTGGAAGGGAACATCGTCGAAGAAGGTAAAGCAGACGACACGTTCACAACTCTATCTCACGCGGAGCAAACGATATCGAACAGCATGAAGAAGTGGAGAGAGGAAAAACAAATAAGTAAATAACATTTAACTATATCACAATATATTTAGTAGTATAATTACTTATTAATAATTCATTGAAATAAAATCTAAATAATTAAATAAACTTTTAATTAATAATTTAATTAGTTTTGTATGTAATATTTAATAATTAATTAGATAATTATTATTTTAATTAATTAAAATATTTGTTGAAATAACACCTAAATAAATAATTAAAGAATTAGTATTATAATTTACAAATAAATCATTAATTATATGATTTGGTGACTAAGTTAATTTCAAATTATATTATTTATCATTTTAATTTATTGATGGTAGTTAAAAATTTATCATTATAATATTATTTACTATTATAATTTATTGATGGTAATTAAAATTAAAAAAAATAAATAACTCGTATTTAAAATACAAATTAAATTAACTTTTAATAAGCTAACCACTTTAAATCCTAAGTAATTTTGTAAAAACGTCAACTAGATAATAATTAAATAATTACCAATTTAATTAGCTAGTAATAAAATTTTTAAATAATTAATTATATACGTAGTAATTAAAAATTATTTAAATAGCACTTAAATAATTTGCAGTATAAAAATTTCAAATAATAAATATATAATTAATTATTTCAAATAATAATTAAATAATTAATTATTCAATAATCAATGTATCTCTTAATTTAATACTTATTAAAATAACATCTACACAAGTAATTAGGTAATTAGTATTGTAATAAGTAATTATTTTTTAAAATGCAAATTAAATTTAAATCGTAAATTAAGTTTGATTTTTTAATAAACTAATTATTTTAAATTCTGGATTATGTTACCAAATAGTTTTATAGGATTCAATAGTTATCTTGCCAAATAGTTTTCAGGATTTAACACACGTAGGGGTTGTTTGGATATAATATTGATGCAGGACTTGAGCAGGATTTATGTTAAATCCTATAAAACGGGATTTAGGAAAATGTTAAATCTTATATTTCCCTCTCTTTTTTTCACAAATCCTGAATTTACTAAAAACGGGAGTTCCACAAGTTTATGGGATTTGGCCAAAGAAGCATGCAAAAGAGGCAAAGGACGGTTACCTTCATAGCGAGCGACTCCCCTCCCATAACTTTCAATCGGGTGTCTTCGAAGGAGACTCTTTCAAAAAATGCTATCTCAACTAACATGCCAAACATTTTTCAGAATTTAATGAGCTAACTATCTTAAATCCTTAATTTCTTTGTCAAACAATATCATAGAATTTAATATAATCTAACAACTAACAAGCCAAACAATTTTCAGAATTTAATTTTAGAAAGATTTATCAAATTTGAATTTACAAAATTTACTAAACACTACTAAATTTAAATCTTACTTGTATCCAAAACGAACCCTTGGAATTGATATCGTTAAATCCTACTTGAGAATCCTATAAATCTCATGATAAGATACATCTGTCGTTACCCTAATATCTTTGATGTAAATCTCAAATTTACTAAATCCTAAGGTTCAACGGATTTATGGGACACAAATAAAGAAGCTCTCACGAAAGGGGAGAAAAGTGGTTACCTTCATCGTGAGGGAGACTGTCGTTACTTTCGATCCAACAAAAAGAATTCCGTCAAAGGAGGCAAAGAGGCCGTTCAAAACTCTCTTTAGCAAAGCAAGTAAAGCCAAACAGTAACATATAGTTGAAGGTCAAACATCAACAAAGAAACTGAGAAGATGAAAAGAAAATCCTAGACAATGTTTTTTATGTCGAGCTCGGTTGCGCGAGCATGTCATCCAAGTGGAGGCA